CAGGCCAGATGGCAGAGCCAGGTCTTCAAGTCCCTCCGAAAGGCCGGGAATGAGGGGGCCTATCTCACTTCTAGTTGGTATATCTTGATTTTTAACCTTTGATGAAAAGTCACCAGCTTTAGCTCTACTACCGACTTGCCACTTTCTTCAGTTTTATTGCTAACTGCCTACATGGTTTTTACTGCTAACCTCTTTTTCTTTACAATTTCAATTTCACTGGCAAAAGCTCTTTCCTCTTAAAACACTTCTGCTACCTACATGCTTTAGATGTAGTGTTTCCTTTGTAAATTAGATACCAGTGAATTCAATGTACACAGCAACTGCCAATTGTAAGTTGGTGTGTTTGAAGTTTTGAATACCAGTTGTGATGAAACAAAAACACAGTGTGTAGGTGTGTTGAACATAATCTTGATTTAAACTGCCGGAAGAAAACCATGAATTTTTAATTAGAACAAAAAATAATTAAAAAATGCTTTTAAAAACAACCAACCTGCTTTTTCATCTGCAGATTGATAGCAAATAACAATTCAGTAGAATTGAACAAGTAACAATTCAGTAGAATGTTATTCATACAATGAAATGATTAGCATTTTTAAATTGGGGAACACTAAGATATAGCTGTAGAATAAAAAAAAAGATTAAACAAGAATGCCTTAACAACCACACTATTTTAAATCTGCCTTTTTAAAATCAAAGGCCTCAATTTATTACTATTTCAGTGTATATTTCAGCATAAGTGATATACTGTATTTGAGTATGTTCTTGCATTTTTGGTAGTGCTTTCATCATACTTTTTAGAAAGGCACATTGGGAACCAATAACTTAGAACTACAGATAGTCTTCAGTTAACAACAGTAATCATGACTGGAATTTCTGTCGCTAAGTGATGCAGTCATAAAGCAAGACGTCACATGACCACATTAGCAACGGCAATGCTGGCAGTCCCCGTTGCCATCATTAAGCGAGGATCGCGGGTTGTTAAGCGAGTCCCTGGCAGCTTGTAAGCAGGCTGGCAGGCAGGTAAGTGGCTGCTGCCAAGCAGGAGAGGTTGC